TCAGGTGCTACTGAACTAGACAACCTAAATGCTGGTAACGGTGTACTCACAGTAGTATGTAATTCACTCAGAGTAATTTTACCCTGCATCTCTCTCGGACAAATTTATGGGGTTCTTCAAATGGTTGAGAATCTGGTGTATCACCTCTACACTGACAGCTCAAACCAACTTAGCTGAAGAGGTGACTCATTCAGTGGCATGTATAAAGTGAACAGGTTGTCATTTTAAGAACCTGACATCATTAGAACTGCTACAGGCACCTTTCTGGCCAGAGTCTGAACTATGCAGAATCGGCCACTCAAGATCATGGCTAAATAGGACACCAGGGTAGACACACCATTCATTCTATTCTGTATAACAAACTATACTTCACTGTAACTGGCAATAAATTCCTTTGAAATCCAATGGGATACCATGGTTGTGCAGTCAGTATTAAGTGAAGGATCAGATCTGTAAGTGTCGATAAAATAAATTCCCAAGTTTTTGTCCTTAACACAAGGTTTTTCGTTCTATTTCCAACTCTTAAACTAATGTTTCTCTGGGCTAATTATTCACTGGCATTGATTTAACTTTATGCTATTACTGTCTGGGATGCCTTGCTTACCTGTAGGGTGATGTGTTCATCCTTATTTCGAGACAACATGCTCATGATGACGCTGTCCGGCTGCCGTGTCCTAATCATGGCTTCAAATAGCGTCCTGCGGGCAGGCACACTGACAGGAAGCTGATAGCGAATGTGACTTCCTGGCCCAAATGTGTATTCTTTGGCAACTAAAAAGACAGGATAAAGACCTTTAAACTATTTTGTAGGGAGAGGGAAATATTATTGTCTCCATTATTTTCATAATAAGAGTTGAAAGTGAAAGAAAAAATTATAATGCACAGCGTGGATCCATGAGATGTCGCAAAAGACAAGCGATATGTCCCTTTCTCTATTTCCACAACTTCCCCAATCACTCTTCCACTTCTTCCTCTGTAAAGAGGTGATCTCCCTCCTAACTGCATCCTGCTAATGCTTCTCCTTACAATGCTCACACAGTATGGCAGCAGGAAAGCAGAAGCTCTGACCAAGACAAAAGAAGAGTCTGCAGACAAAAGTATTAAGTACCACAACCAATTTTCACAGCCTGCTCTTTTATAGTAGTCTTTTTGCTGCAAACTTTGGATCCATGTGGGCTAAAGAAAAGATCCTACTATACTGAAAGCACAGATCCTTAAGCCAACAGAGTCTCTTCCAGGCATCAACAGAGCAGTAATTTCCAATTCCTGTTGTGTAGTTCTAATTCTGCACAGTAAGTGGTACTGGCACACTCACATTTAAGTTTTAGGTTATTAGATATTTCTGAAAGTGTCAACAGATGCAAATTAAAAAAATTGTGACAAGAACAAATAATTTTGTTCATAATTCTTTTGTCATGCAGTCTCCATTATACAGTCATTGCACAAACACCCTCAGGACTAAAGAAATGATCTGATACTGAGAAAGTTCAGAATTTCTCAGAGGGAATTAGAAAAGAAATTGTTAAAAATCGCAGGCAACTACACTGAAACATGGCTTCACACAATGTAAACATCAGAAACCACCTCAGCAATCATTACCTACAAACATTTTAAGTTTTCTGTATTGTAAAATTTGCCAGCCTATCAATAACATAACAGAAAAACAGACCTCACCTTTATCGCATCGATAGCCATAGTAACCCGGCAAACAATGACAAGCAAATGAGCCCCAGTCTCCAAGACACCTCCCATGAAAACCACAGGAAGAAGACCCCATGGTCTCACAGCTCCCATCCGTAAGCGTGCAGCCAGGGAAGCTATTCAGGGACTCTGCAGGAGACTGAAGGTCATACACCTTCAAGAGAAAATTGTATGACACTGAAATATTATTTAAGAAACACTTACACTTCATTTTTAAACAGAAATAGCTATACCACATAACAGTCTGTTCTCCATCTGCATTGCTTAAGATGCTAAGTTTGCTTTTTGACATTCAGATTTCAACTTATTTTATCAAGACCATATTTTGCCTTTGAATAAACTCAACTGACTATAAAAGCAAAAAACCCCTAATATTTCTTAACAAAGCAGACAGCTGGCATAAATATACCATTATACAATTGCCATTCAGAAGTTCCCTGAATGTGCAAAGAAGCTTGGAAGACAGCTGCATGAAGTAGGGGATAAACAAAGGCACAGTTTCTGGCTCACAAATACATCTGTTTGTAATTGAGAAATAACTTTTCAAGGTAGTTATTCTAATTATGACAGAAAAATCCAGAATTTTCTTGTATTCTACACTGACACATACGGGCATTGCATAGATTAATGGAAGCAAAAGTTTCAGGTATAACACAAACCTCCCAAAAATTTAATAAAGAAGTTTACTCCTTTGCTAAAGCAAAATGTTACACTTTTCTTACCTGAGTATCCAAGATGAAATTGCGCAAACAACCGGAGAAGTGTTTGTGTAGCAATTGCGGGTAGGAATATGGTAATGATTCTTTTACACCACCCAGCTGTAGAACATGGTTCACATTCAAATACCTTTAAAAATTATATGAATAATAAATAGATGTGAATTTACCTTCAGACATAGGCATTGTATCATAACACAGATAAATAAACATCTACACTGCATTTCCAAATAATAGAGGCTTTATAAAATAACAAAAGAAAGCGACTATTTTATCTTTTTCTTTCTCTGAAATACAGTCAGTCAATAAGCAGAAGCCAGCCCTTTAAAATAAATGGTAATTTATTTTTTAAACATGACAGTGAGGTCTATTGGGAGTTTAACTGTGGGACACTATTACAATTCGGGTATATTTGTGTTCAAGTCAGGAACAGCTGTAATATTCTAGACACCATATTCTCCTTCAAGTGCTTCTCTCTGTGCACATTCATCCTATACTGTAGGAATACTACAACAAAGACTGTTTTGTGTATGATAAAGACCAGAAACCTAAAAGTTGGGTCAATGTGATCTAAAAGGTATGGTGCACACATCCAGCCTCTGCAATGTCTCCCAGTCATCTCTCTGAGCTGAAGAATTCCACATATTTTAGTCCTCACAGAGTTTCTTTTTCCCCCCTGAGTTATTAACTCCATTTTTTGTTTTCAATTATTCTTTTATTTCTCCCTTTTTTTTGTGTGCTCCTTTTGTGACCAGGAGGGCTCCATCCATCTGCTGGCAAGGCTTAATCCCAATGCTAATCAGCACACTTGCTGGGACTATCTATTCCACACCTCAAGTATCTTTATTAGTACAAAGGTTTCCCTAAAATATAACCTGAATATTCCTCACTGTAACTTAAGGCCCTGTACAGAAGAGATTGTCTAAATCCTCTTTGTAGTGTTCTTTTACGTACACTGAGACTTATCATCTCTCTCCTCAGTTTTCCCTTCTTTCAGTTAAGTGACCTCAATTCCTTCATCCTTGATAGGTTTTATTCTCAAGGCAAGCTGAATACAGTCACTGCTCTTCTCTGGACTATACCCAGTTGGTACACGTCTATCCTGCACTACGGTGCACAAACTGGACCCAGTACTCCAGCTGAGGCCCAACAGTGCCTACCAGAGTGGAAGAATTACTTTCCACATCTTTGAGATGTACACATCTTGAAGCATTACTGTGTAGTGCTTGCCTTTTTCACATTAATGTGGCATTGCTGGCTCACTCACTTTCCGAGTATCATCTGTATCTTTTACCAATACTTCACAGCTGTTTGCTTCTCTCTATTTGTGAGGCTGGTTATGTCTGCCTGCATGCAGTACTTGGCCCTTTGTCGTAGTGGAAAAACACAGTGTTTTTCCAGGTCCGATTTTCAGTTTACTGAGATCATTTTTCATTCCAAGCTATGCCCTCTAACACACCGGTCATTTCTTCCAGCTTGGTGTCATCAGCAAGGGCAATAAGCATCAGTCCAAAGGACTGAATTATACTGAATCCAAACCCTTGCAGAATGCAGCTGAACATACCCTTCTGCTTTGAATGTAATAACTGTTTTTTGAATAAGATTTTCCAACTTTTTCGGTTTTAACTGAGGCTGAGGGCTGACCCAACAGTACAAGCAATTTAAACCACCAGAGTCATTACCACACCTGGGCTGTATTACTTTGCTGCAAAACAAACACAGGTGGATCGTACGTCTCATTACAAGACACTGCAGCCCACAGCCAGGCACACCAGCACCAGCCTACTTTAATCAGCAGTTTGTAGTAGACCAGGCTGTGAAGTGAACAGCTGAGGTATGGATACTTGTGCACTTCCTCTGACTCTGCTATAAAGGCAGTAACCTTGGATCAACTGGAGACCCTGATGTGTTAGTCTACCTTAATACGTTCGCCAAAGGTTGTCAGTAGGAGCCCTCAGACTTACACCAAACAGGTAGTAAGATTGGTTGAGGATCCAGAGTTACTGCCATTAAAATGTCAACTGGCCTAATTTCATGAGGTTTTCAAGAACAGACTTAGAGTGACTTGATAAATAAAGTGAGAAATCCTGTGGATAAGGAACAGTACACAGTACCCACAAAATCTCCAGTATTAGCCACATAGTGTTCTGGGGTTTTCATTTAGTATTGCAACACTACTTGGAGGAAGACTGGTTCCTTAAAATTTGTTCAGTGCTTTAAGGTCCAGACTTGGCCCAGAAGGCCCCAAGAAAAGCAAACACTTTTATGTTCCTAGTCATTATTAACTTGGCTTCAATTTGATAGGCAAAATGTTCAAAGGCCTTGGAATAAACTGTCTTTCATTGAATCTCCAGAAATGCACCTTGCTCTTCGTGGAACAGACCCAAGGACTTCACAATTTGTACGATCTTCAGTGGACAGCCATTTGCCTACTCCTTCTATCTCTGAAACAACAGCTGCACTGCAGTGATCCAAAGTGAATCGAACATCCTACACCAAAACATAGGATTATTGAATTAAGAATTTCTGTAAAATTAAATAAAAAAAGTTATATCGAATTTTCATCTTTTTCTTTTTGCATACCATCAAGCAAAAAGGGTTGGGTTTTTTTCCTGTTTCGTTTTCCATCTTGCAATAACCAATAAAGCCAAAATGGAACCATTTAACAAAGAAGGCACTTCACTCTGCATTTAATTTATGCTTCTGAGTAGCTTAACCTTAACTGTCACAAAAACTGTAACTGCATTTGCAAATAAATAATTACCTGCTTTTTCTGCATGGGTAATTGATTTCAGTGTCCAAATGTGTACATTGAATTTGCAAATTACAACTAAGCCTTTATGCACATTCCACATGTGCTGCAGAGCTTAAAAAACAGGAAAAAAAATTCCTCTGATCCCAGAATATGGATTGCAACATAGGTAGATTTAGAACTGACAATGCTGTCTTCCCAAAATTTGTATTATTCATCAAATCTACAAGCACAGTCAGAATAATACATATAATTATCCGGTCTGTTTTTTCTACCCTCCTGTTTCTGCACAGGGAAATGCTATTGCAAATATAAATATCCTGATGTGGGGGGGGGGGAAATCAAAAAACCCACCTGACCATTGGTTCTGACTTCTAGTCGATGCCATTTTTTGTCTGCTACATTCAGGTGACTTGGAAACTGCAGCATCACAAAACCTGAGCCATGGCTTATCTTCAGCACAGGAATACCACTGGAGAGTTCTAATACAACATGAACAAGAAATTAAATTCAGCTACAAGGATCTTTCCATTTTGGATATGTTAGCAGTTAGTGAATGTACTGTTTTAATGGTTATTGCTAGTCCCATAAAGTGGGGTTCACTACAGAAATAACTAGAATTCTATTCTATGACTTCTCTTATGCCGAAACATTCAATATAGTACTTATTTTTATGCTTTAGATTGTGCTACTTCTCTGTCAAAACACTGAAACTAATTCCTGATAAGCAATGTGCAATTTTATAATGCTCTAAAACAATTAACACATGCAGGTTTTACTCCCTCCCATCTTCTACTCAAATGTACAAGTAACTGCAAAACAAAGCAAAAAAGAGGTAAATTATTAACAATATCCAACAACATTACCTTTCAATTAATTAGGCAAATATAAAATGCCAACCATACTGTGCATCTTGTATATTAATTCACAAAAAACAAGCAGTAGTAACCTTTTAAATATGTGTCAACATAGAGCAATGAGTTCTACTTGCATATAGATTTTCCTACAGTTGCACATTGGGGCTGGATTCATCCATCAAATCATTGACTGTTTAAAAAACAAGTGCAAAAATACCCCGAGACTGAAAGCAGTCCAAGTGAATTTCTCTTCTCACCAAACTAGATAAGAATGACATGCGACTAAGACTGCATTAACCATGTAATACCTATCTTCAAAGTACCTAAATTCCTTTATAGTACTGCAGTTTTCCTTTCCCTTTGACTTCTACAACTCTGCAATGGACCTAAAGCCATAGGTGCAGGCTACAAAAATAGACATCAAAGAAGAAAGACCTATTAGGAAATGTTTCAAAATATTTTCAAACCAGAAAATAAATTATCTCATAATATTGAGAGACAGAATTCATACTGTAACTACTACACTGTTCGCAGGCAACTCATTCCCAAAAGACAGTTAATTTTTTCACACATTTTTGCAGAAGTACCTATTGCAATGAAGTTTTCTGTACTCCCAGGTTCTGGATTTGATAAAGGACCACTATATAGTAAAAGTCCATCTGGAACCACAGTAATAAACTCTAAAGAGAGTGAGCTTTCAAAACAAGGCCTGATGGGACGAAACCATGCATAACCATTTCCATGGAAACTGTGCTTAGTCTGCTGGCAGTCTGGGCCATGAAATGAAGCAGGACAAAGACATCTGAAAGAGCACAAACACAAAAAATAGTCAAGATTCCCCAATGTTCAACTTTTTTTGGTTTTACATGCAACAAATGTAGCCCTTAAATCACAGTAAAGTGATTCAAAATAGCAGTGAAACAATAAAGATTTTAGCAGAGTCTCAGGGTGCTTGGCAATTATCAAAATACTTTACGAGTAAAAAGCATATTTATCCACTATACTATCTCCATTTTTAAAAAAAGTGGTTTTGAGAACAATGAATTCTTTCCCTAAGTAACATAGAACACCAAACATCAGTTGGTCAATTTATTACAGAGAAAACTCAGGGAGGTTAATTAATAGAATAAACCAGTATAATTTCCCTAAAGGATACTGGTGTGTGCCAGGTGATGCTGTAATAAAGCAAGTTTCCTATCTAATGTTTTTTAAGCTCCTTATTACCCATTGTTTAAACTACATGTCACTCCCCCCTACATCCCTGCTGCTACCACTGAGATTCACCTTTATTATTACACTTCTGGAAAAGAAAAAGTGAAATAAAACCCAGAGCACACTTCCCATTCCTTCATACTGAATTAGGTGCTCTTAAAAAATGACATGTGTTAATATCACTGTTTTTTCCCCCAGGGTTTTCTTTCTTACTCACACACTATTTTGACAGCTTTCAGGACTACAGCACCATTATTGGGCCGTTAGTAAAGACCCTGTTGTCATTAGGTTTACACTCCAGTGCGCTCGTGGGGTTTTTTGTTTCTCCTTCAGTCAGAAGTACATTTATGATTTTTTTTTAGACCTGTATCTTGTAAGCTCCACTCGACACTTTAAAAATAGAAATAATAAAAAAAAAAGGCAGGAGAATCTGCAATACAAGTTTCCTCACCTGTAACCATTCAAAGTGTCAATACACATCCCACCATTGAGACAAGGGCTTTGAGGGTAGGAGGAACAAGACTGATGAACTCGGTCCCTAGCTGAACAGGTGCAGACTGCATTGATGGTGGTTGTTACCGAGACGAATGACACGCTTCCAGTATCCATCACTGTTGGGATGTCACTCATGGTGAGGTAGTTTGTACAACCATTACCCTCACTACAATTTGCACTCCTGCATTCATCTACATCGATCTGTGAAATGTTCAGTTGTAAAGCTGACTGGATCTAAGAGAAAATACAGTTTAACACATCACCAGTCTTGTCCTAATGAATGCTTTTACTTACTTATTAATTTCTGAAAAATCTAAGCCATCATAGACTTAATGGAATGCTTTAGTTTCCTGAGTATTAATTAGTAACATCCCTGACTATACAGGCAAGCAAAATGATTTGACAAATACAGGAAAAAATTGAAAAAATTTAGAGTAGCAGTATTTCCTAAAAACTTAATCATTGACACGATTGCCTGTGAACATGTTAAAACTGTACTGGCATACTAACATTATTTCCAAGGATCAAAACTCTGAGAGCAGTGATATTCCACCTTCCAAGCTGTGTTGTCCGCATCACACTTCTCTGCACCCTGCTAGCAACAGGTAGGTTTTAGCTCAAGCCAGGATAAAAATTCTTCCTCGTGAGCTATACCCAGACATTATTTCTTATGTTCTCTTGCACGTAAGGATACAGACACAGGAAAATGCAGGGCTGAGCTGCATTCAATAATAATATCCACAGAGAATGGCCTGACAAGACCACTTTGTAGCAATTAGGATTCAGCCTACTGATTCGTGGCCCATAAACTTACATTTAATGTCAAACTGTCTGAAAGAAAGTGCAGTCAACTCAGCATACTGGATGCTATATTCTATTCTACATTGATCTTCGCTAGTTCATTGTTTTTATCATTAATTGGCGTTGCACCTGAAAGCCCAAATACCCAAATAAGAGAGCCTCACTGCATATACAGGTCTTGTGACATAGTAATAGTGTCTCGGCAGTTTGCAACTTCTAATCCAAACAGACCAAAGAACTAGCAGAAAGCACAAAGAAGAGAAGCAAGCTGTTCACCGTAAGCCTGAGGACAGTAACAGGGCTGCCATTGTCTCAGACCTTTCGTACTTCAGCCAGTAGCCCATGCACTGGACTAAGTTATCACTAAGTTTGTTCCTTGGCACAACAGATTTCTTCCTTCTACTTGTTTGGGGATTTTGCACAGGTGCCTATAAAGCTTCAAAATTTGATTTGTATTTAGTGATTCGAATACATTAAAATGGCATGTATTTAGTACCCAAACGTGAATACAAGAGACCTCACTACTCTCACAGTGGTATACACTGAGGTATACAAATGTAAAACTAACAACATAAGATCAGGCTTAGACTCTCTTATTTATACATTTAATAGGTATTTTGTCAAATGATAAAATGTATGACAAATATTTTTAAAATAAGGTTTGAAAAGACCAAAACAAACACATGAATACTAAAGTGCTTGTATTTTTTTTTGACTTGTGCAGTCATCTCAATTCACCACTGTAAAAACTTTGACCTTTATAATTGTCAGTATATCCTCAGATATTATAACATGTATTGAAAAACATGTCCCCAAAGGCATAAAATGTACTTTATAATGACATGATACATCCTGTCAATGCAGTTTCATGTCTGCTGCCCACATCTATCACCATTAGTGGAGAGTATATAATGCACATTTAGACAGCTATGTAATGCTGTTATAGAAAAACATAGCGTATATAAACAACCTTTGCTCCTTTAGAGTATTAGGATGGATTATTTTTCTGCTAAATAAAAATAGTTGTTGTAAAGCTATATCCCAAGGAGGTAATGCAAACATATTATTTATTTAGCAATTCAATGAATAATTCCAGTGCTTAATTACTTATTTTCTATATTTGTAGTTAAACTTATGTATAAAAACTACTGGAGAAATTCTCCAGCTATGATTGGGTTTCTGTAAACTATTGGCGATTACTCACTAGAGCTATTCATTAAATATTGAAAGGTGATATATAATTAATACAAACATATTTTTTCATTAAAATATGTGAAGCAATCCCCTTGTTACCACTTTGATGAATTCACCTGCCATATATTATGGCACAGAATATTTGAAATCTATGCAATTTTCTATATTATTGTTGCAGTAATTCAATAAATATGCAAAAGAAGCAGTCATTATGTTTCATGAATACTATCTGTCTCTGGTATTTCCTACTTGGTCACTCTGAGGAGTCTTATAATCCACACAACTATTTAAGATACAGTAAGATGTAGGCAGGTGGTAAATTAAGATATTCTTGTCTGGTTCCCAGAATCAGGCAGACCCTACAACGTTCACACAAATGGAAAGTGCTGTTTTCTCTTCAGCAAAAGTCTTCCATAAGATGTACCACATATTAAACTCAAATATGCCCCCACAGCCACAAATGACATCTCAGGAAGTGCTGCCTTGTCCAGGGCAAGTTACAAGCCAAGCAGTGGCATCTTGCCTTTGCACAAGATAGCAGCTTTAGTGTCTATTGAGCAACATCTGCAGGACTTCAGTAAACCAAAATCTGGAGAACTACAGAAAATAAAAGTGGGACCAAGACAGACCATATCTGGGTAACTGAGTTACAGAGCATGCAGGATCTAGTAAGAGAGTAGGACTGTTAGGGAACATAAGGAAGGGGAAGAAAATATCTTGCATTCAAAAACTGTTTTCCCCTTATGACAGTAAAAAAAAGTTGGGGGAGGGTGTCACTTTGTATTCAAAGTTGTTCTCTCACAAAATCAGTTGTCTCCATCTCACTTATCTGTTGTAACTCTTCTTCTAACCTGCATATTCCTGCCAGCAAGATTTTTTCCTATGGACTGTCATCTCTTTGTACAGTAGCATCTCTATCTGGGTGGCATCAAGCCTGTACTGTAAGTGTTTAACCACAAGCTGATGATTTGGGTATGTCCATCAGCATCTAGCACATCCAAAAAGCTGTCATTTTCAAGACATTCTGTATACTACAGTACCACTTCAGCTTCTAGGGATTCTTCAGATTTCATATTCAAAAGTCTGATAGATTACACAATGAAATACTGACTGGAGAAAACACAGGCAACTGTACCACGATGGGAACAGAGGACCATCTTTCTGTGACTAAAAAGTGGTTATGTTTATTGAACCAGAAGTTAGTACAACCATATAATAATTGTATGTATGGCACTGAGGAGAAGGGAGAAAGCTTGAATTAAGCACTCGCTTGACAAGTGTTTTTGTCCTGAGTGAAGCACAAAAAACTTATCTGTAGATCTAGCATATTCTTCCACAGGGGTTTGGGATATATACCTTGCAAACTCAGTATTTAGGTGAATTACACAGACGCATGATAACCCTAGAGAATATACCTCATTTTTAAATGCTGCCATCTCAGCATGCAGTTTCTCAGGTCTGTAATATGCCGAGCCATCACAGACTGCAAATCTTATATCTGTCTGTTTTCCATCAATGTTCATCACACTGAAGACAATGATATCACTAAGCTTAGCAGGTAACATTTTTGCTAGTAATTCCTTGAACTTGTCATGTCTTGTTTTGCCATGTTCATCTCTCCTTATGAACTCCTCTGCTGTGATATCTGAGTTTGGGATTCAAAAATAAACAAACATGAAATAGTGGGAGACCACAGGTTAAGTTCACAATTTATTTCTTATTTAACAATATGGAAACATAACAGAAAGTGCCCTACAGTGATAAGAAAATCAAGTATTGATATAGTAATACCTACATCATATAATCATTTAGTTACAGAAGCAGCTGATCTAAACTCACATCAGCAAATAAAACTAACCTGACAGACGCACAGTGGCTGAGTTTTGTATGGCTTCATTTTCCAGCTCTTTGACATGGATTTGTACCGTAGATACAACATCAGGACAAACTCCATCAGAAACTCTAACTTTTAAGTTGTATATTCCTTGAGAAGTATTATCCACCATCATCAAAGAACCAGTCCTCTGATTTAATCTAAAAGACCTAGACATAAACCAAAATTGAGAACTTACTTTATTAATTAACATAATTCAGAAGGCCTTAAACATTACTATGAAGGTTATAGGATCAAAATGTATGGGAATTAGCAAACAACCTCATAAAAGCACCAGAAACACCTTAATTCAGAAATGACAATCTGCAGAGTTTATAAAAATATGCTTCTGCCACTCCCAAATCCCCAGACTTTCCCAATCCTGAATAAAAGCAGTCTGTAGCTGAACCACAGGGTTCAACATAGTCATCATGGGCAGGTCTAAGAGATAAGTAATAGAAAGTGACAAAACCACACAAAGTCATTCCAGATGCTCATTTATCCATCTGGAACAGAATAAGGTCTGTATGAAATCTCTGAGATCATCTTCATTTGCCTCCGCAAAGGGACAGTAATCAGTAATTATGGAAATATTCCATGACCACTATTACAGAACAGGAACCTCTTAATATGGGAACAGATCCAGGGCTGCTGATGCACAGAAAGACAGTCTTTAATTTTGGGCTACATAAAACTTCTAAACTCTTATTCACAGTGGAGACAAAAATTCTCATTCATTTTCACATCCGTTCTCTGTATTCAAACAACATACAATTATGCTATATGCCATCTCACTTTATGATATGAAAAATAATGTATAAGTAGGAATTAAGGATCCACGTCAACATTTTAATTAACCAAAAAAACTCCACTAATCTAAGAGTCATGGTTTTCACATGCAATTGTAAATTTAGCCATCAATGGAGATTGCCAAATTCCCTTCCATTTTTGATGAAATTATACCATTCTGCCCTTTTAAATCTGGAATTTGTATTCCATCAACTCTAATATTTGAGGGCAAGTATTAAAAACTCTGCCTATTTTTAAATTGGATCTCACAGAATGCACATTTTTAAATAAATTAATGATGACATCTGACTAAAAATCAACATCATGGTGTGATCCTGCATTCTCTTGCAAAAAATATTTTATGCATTAATTCCTTAATACTTAGTTACACAAGTAAAAAAGAAAAAGAGCATTCAGAAGGTACATCCCTTAATACACTCAATAACCCTGGCTTTATGCACATCCTGAACAAGAGAGATACATGGTGAGTAAAAGAATTACAGAAGCATAAATATTACTCATTTTGACACAAATACAATCCTCACTTGAGCAGTTTTCCTTCAGAGAGAAATGTTTTATTGTCCCAGTCATCTTGATCTGGTGCAAACACTTCCCCAAGCACCGTTGTTGACCATTTTCCTGTTGAGATAAATTATAATAAATCTGCATTTAATTTTTGCTTTTCAGTGCACTTTATATTCTGCCACATTCATTACTGCATTTATTATTTTCAGATTCCTGCTCAATTTCGTGATGGTTATGATCCAAGGCTCTTAAAATAATGCATAGCCTGTCATATGATTTCTGCCAGTTCAGGAAAGGTGAGTACATTACAGATGTCACATGAAAGAAGAAAAGCTGAAAACAACACAAAACAACAACAGAATGATACATAAATACAACTCTATATAAAATTCTCAGACAAAAAAAAATTTTAAAAATTACCACATCAGGAGTTAATCCCCAAATGTTTCATTACTACTCTACTATTTCAAACAGCACACCAGGGGAATCCAGCACAAGAAGCAGAGCATCTTGTGGGGCACAGCTGGGAGAGAAGGACATGACTACGAAAAGGAAATGGGCAAGAAGCCACCAAGCTATGCCATTTCTTGGCCCTTTTTCCAGGACCCTGTGGGCTGTCACAGAAGTGGAACATCCAAGCAGCTGTTCTAAAACAGCCAAAGAAGCAACTCCAGAAAAGGAGACCTTTGAATTCCACAGCCAAGATCCAGCAAAATGGGAAATTTTTAAGGTTCAAATCTGGAGCCAATCCACCCTAAAACTCTTCATTCTCTCACTTCTATGGTAGGATCTGGTCACATCTTTTTCTAATTTAGGCATACTGAATTCAGCAAAAATAACTCATTGCAAAAACACCTTCTATAGATTAATCTTCTCTAATATTTATCAGAAATTCTACGATTGCAATGATAAGTGAGATATAGTCAAGTCTATCTGGAAAGGAATATTTAGGGAAAGGCGTAATAAACCATGCTTAATAAGGGCCACCAGGACTAGTTTAAGGTCAAGTTTTACAGGTAATTTCAGGAAAAAAACATATTAACAGAAATTCAAGACAAATTTTAGGAAATATTATTAAACTGTTCATCCTCTGCTAAACCACTCCGATGAGAAAACATAAAGCATTCATGTAATGGATGCATTTGCTCTGCTCTCTCCCACTACAATGTTAAACCTCATAGTACCATGGCTGCTATCACAGAGCAGCTCTCCTGCTAGTATGTCTTGAACTAGGTACTGTGCACCACTCAAGAACACATCTAGAACAGCATTATTATTTTTTTTCCCCCCTCGGTTCAAAGACTACACATTCTAGGAAGCAGTCAATTACTGCACCCCAGAGATTATTCTTCTCCTAAAAAAGCACTGACCCAGCTTCCTCTTGGATCCTTTCTTGCCAGCAGAAAACCTCCCTTCCCAGGATTTCTATCCTGCTCAGCTACAGAGTGGCTGTCACAGTGGAGGTGGGACTGGTCTACAGTTTCTGGGTAGGGCTCATCTATGAACCTCTGCTTCCCTAAGTTGCTTTAGTTCTGCCATTCTCATCTCCAGATCTCTCTGCATCAAATACTTTCCAAATCATGTGTGCACACACAAAAAACTTTTCCTCTGTGTAGGTGAAAACTAGTGAATGGAAAATGGATTTTATTGGTTTATAAAAATACTGTTTTTTCTGCAAGCGCAGTATATACTTGTTTGCAGCTAACGGTTTCTTGTTAGGTGATCTTTTACACACTAGGGTCTCAGCTTTACAAATATATACTTTACTAATTCCACTTTATTTAGTAGTCTACAGAACTGGAGTTTCAGTTTTGAAAGATGTAAACCATTTAAAAAAATATAGAAAGAACTGCAAGAAAGAAATTATGTGTAAAACTGTGCTATATTCATGAATCTGGTATAATATCCAGATAGCACTTACCTTTGTAACTGTACATATAGACTTCCTTATGGCCAGATTCATGGCAGTTGTCATTTTCATCACCAATTGTTATAGTTAGGGTGTTCGTAGAGCTCATAGCTGGAATCCCACTATCTGTTATAACTATTGGCAGATGAAACACCTTCTGCTTTTCTCTGTCAAAGGACCTCAAAGCAGTTACAGTTGCTGTGTTATTTCTGTTGTCAGTAAGAGAAAAATCCAAAGAATTCTGATACTCTGGTGGCAATGAAAATGTAAAGGGTGGCCCATTTTCCTCACTGTCTGGATCAAAAGCATGAAGCAGTTTTGATGTATGGTTCATATACACTATTTCAGGCTTCAATATATTTTCCCATACTACAGGCATATATGGTGCCTCAAACCTTGGTCCATTGTCATTAACATCAAGCAAGTTTATCAAAACTGTAACACTTCCTGTGCAGGCAGGTGTTCCTTGATCTGAAGCTTGAACAATTAAACTGTATTTTTGAATGACTTCACGATCTAGAGTATTTGCCACAATCACGTGACCATGTTGGTCGACCTCAAACTGTCTCAGAGGATCCGAATCTGACTTCATAGAATATATAATGTTCCCATTCAAACCAGAATCCTTGTCTGTAGCTCTCACTGTGGTTACTGTAGTACCTACAGGCATGTTTTCAAAGAAAGGGCTTGTCTGAATAAACTGAGAAAGGAAAACCGGGCTGTGGTCATTAAAGTCTTCAACTTCTATCAGGCACACTGCAATACTAGAAAAATCAAGATCTTCCACTGTAATAGTAAGATTAAACTGCCTTTCACGTGCATTCTCAAAATCCAGGGTTTGTTTCAGTCGAATAGTGGCACATTGCCATTCTTTGTCATTCTCAATATAAAACTTCTGATCTGGGTCTCCCTCGATGATACTGAATATTAAGTCAGCATTTTCCCCAACATCTGCATCTGTAGCACACACTTGCAGAACTTCTGAGTCGATGGCACTGTTTTCAGGAATTGCTGCCTGCCACATCTTTTTTGTGAATTTAGGTACCTGATCATTGACGTCTGCAATCCAGACAGTGGCAGTGCCAGTTCCCGTTAGCCCTCCACCATCTCTTGCTTCAACAATGAGAAAATAATTGTCAGTCCTTTCTCTGTCCAGCATTCCCCCTGCTACATGGATTGTACCAGTATTGGGATTGATATTAAACATGTCAGCACCAAACTCATTTTTTACATTCTTTGTTATCCTGTAAGTCAGAACAGCATTAAGACCTACATTTGGATCATCACGATCGACTGCACCCATTTCCATGACTAACGTGTCTGCAGGAGAATTTTCAAAGACACTCCCATTGCAATCATCGGGCATGCATGTGAACATAGGTGCATTGTCATTTATATCCCACACATTAATAATTACATCAGCAAATCCCGTAAGTCCTTCTCCACCTTCATCAGTAGCCAATACAACAAATCTCCACAATGCACGCTCTTCCCGGTCCAACATCTTGTGTGAGTAAACGCTGCCCATTTTCTCATCTATTGTGAAAATATCAGCTGCACCGTGTCCATACAATGAGTATCTCAAATCTTCATCCACATTACTGTCAGGATCATTTGCCTTAACCTACAGAAGTTTTGAAAACAAAGACACAGAAATTACAAGATATGCAGTGATTGCTTTATATCCTATATGGTACTACAGTCTAAAGGAGCCCAAGCAAAAGTGTATGACATGCTATTAATATGGGCATGCCAGATGAATGGCACATGAGAGGTGGCTGAGGGACAATTCAGAGTAGATAAATATGCTTTGCACTACAATAACAATGTAGATAGTCTAATAATAAAATAGTAAAGTTGTTTTTTGTATTTGTAGAGGTAATTTAACTATGCTATTCTGATAGATACTTTAAAATGTTAATGATTTACTTTTTAGGATCACAAATGATCCATCCTGCTTATCCTACTTACTATCTTTGTAATTATTTTTCCATAAAAGTCTATTTTTCTTCATCCACTGACAAAACAACTCAGTAAAACTAAATTTCATTAATATATCTGTGCTGAATTATTATTAACATAATTTTACCAGAGTAATCTGTGCTCTTTCATTGAAATACTATAATCTCTGAAACTGCATACACTACCTGAAGTACAAAGACTGGTAACCCATCCAGTTCCTCAATTATATTTCCATAGTATTCATTGATAGAGAAAACTGGAGTCTCATCATTTTTATTCATGACATTGATGATGACAACTGCATAATCTTCCCATTTCCCATCAGAGGCCAACAAGTGAATCTCGTACATTTTTGTTTCTTCATAATCCAGTGGTTGGGCAATAAAAATGGCTCCTGTTTCTGGTTCTACATCAAGTACTCCTCCTGTGTTTCCAGCTGTGATCTGATACCGTAATTTAGCATTTGTTCCTGTCAATTACCAACAGTGTCAGAAAACACACATTTCTTGAAGTAGATTAAAACATGGGATGTTAAGATTAAGTACAAATCATACAATAACTGATTTTGATATTACAGTTTTGTGGTCTTTTAAAACATGCAGCTATGTCAGATTACTTATCAGTATTTTCAGTTCTGGTATGTCCAATTGTAATTTGTGTCTAATTATAAAATGTGTCTTTGCAATGAAGTATTAATTCTGCTTTTACTTATGATCACTCAAATTCACTGAAGGATCAATATGACTGGCCAAGGCTATGGGACAAATTCTTGTTTGCTAACATCCAGCATGTAAGAATGAGTTATCATAAAATGCTTCATACTGTAGAACCATTCTGCACTCATATTCATTTATGCATAGACTTTACCAACAAACTGGATAATTATGTATCAAGCCAGAGGAGAGAGTCCTAACAGAACTTCTCAAAATTTCAGATGCAGTACCAATTTGCCAATGCTTTTAGATCAAGTAAAGACTTTTAGCCTTTCTGCAAGCTCTACCTTCACATTACTATTCTTCTCTTCTTCCTTTCTTTCATAGCTACATCTTTAATCATTTACTTTATTAAGAGGACAGAAATGAAGTGCCATATATCCATCACATCAGGTCCCCTGATCCAACACTACAGAGTAGGTTTACAGGCAGCCTAAGTAAAAAACTATAAGTTCCTTAAGTAGGTAAATCCTTCTTCAGTACAACTTAGTCACATTTGCCTTAACCTCCTTGAGTGGGTGAGGAATCAAATGCAGCCAGGATGTACTTGCACTTCACTGACACGCTCACAAAACAGTCCTTTGGCACTTGAGCAACAAAAAAAGTATGGTTTCACCATACAGCAAAGTCAAATTAGTAGTGCACCATGGCCAGAAGATGGAAGTCTGTACTGTTCCCTCTCTGATTTATGAGCACTGGTTACGTACTGATGGCTGAATTCCTGACTGATGTGCAGATAAAGCAATATAGCTAAGACTCATCATATGCATCTAGGAAGTCCCGTTTCAAATATGAGAATGTGTACCAAAAAAACCTAAAGAACAATACAACTATACTGTCCATAGAGAAAGCAAATGAATCTCACTGAAACCAAGTCTGATTCATTCTAGTTAACCAGGACATTTTTATTGGTGCCCATTTGTAAGAAAATGGTATGATCTGTAATAAATTTGTATTTGCTGGCACAGAAATTATTCCACATCATCCCACATTAATGCATCACCTCCTGAAATAAGAGTTATTTGACTTATGCCTCACAGCTCCATTATGAACTAATGTTCATGGCCAGTCAGTTCACACTTAAAAGAATTTTTAAAATCTAGAGACAAAAAGACATTTTCCTTTCTAACACCACTAAATATGTCTTGGTGTGCTGAAATTAACTCATTAATATTTTAGACACAGCTATGGGGAATTCCAATACTTTACCTTCATCTTCATCATTAGCACTGACTGTAATGATAGTTGAGCCCACATCTTGGTCTTCATCCACATTTACTTCATAGACACTCTGAGAGAAGACAGGCTTGTTATCATTCACATCGCTGATAAAAATGCGCACGTAGGCCATGTCTGGAGAGACAAGAAACAAGAGATTAAAATACTCAGCTGTGCCACTTCTGTCAGCTACAATTCCTTAAACTGTCTAGCTGCACATTAAATGAAGACGAATATGCAGACAATACAGAAACAAACCCTTAGGGTTGTGGACAATATATATACCAACATTACTCAAAAGCACTTGGATATCAAATGAATGTCACATCCAATTTGTTTAAACAGATAATATGTGAATAACTGATGCCTAATATGGCATTTGTACAGTTTTTAGTCATAACTTCTTGTCCTGAAGCCACAAAAGCCAAATTTTAAGTCTTTATTTAAGCACAGCCATCAACTGAGAATGGGATTTTCTATCTTGAACTTTCCTACTTCATAATTACTTTTGACTGTATACGGTACCATATCCAGTGCTTTCAGAAACACTTCCACTACCCAAAATCTGCATCCTACAGATAATGGGTGCATCTTTGCTAGCTAGGAAATACTCTCTAGACTAACTACGAAGCCCTAGTTTTCTTTTCATTTCAGAACAAAAAACTTGCCTGATCATCATATAAAATATCTCTGACACAACTGTTGCACAGACAAACAGTAAAAAAAAAAAAAAAAAAAAACCAAAACAACGGACACTCTTTCACACGTACACTTGAAAAAAAAAAGGAAATTAACATTTAATCTTGCATTTCAGAGCTTCTGTTTTCAGAGACCAGTCCATATAAAATCATGTTTGCATGCTTGCAACATTACCAGAGTTCGGCTTCCCGTGTTTTCCAGGTCGAGCTGATTCAGAGCCATCTACTGACTTGACTTCTAGAAGATAGGACCCCTTCTTCTCTCTATCAAACTCTGAGGCAGTGTATATTGAGCCTGTCTGTGAGTCCAAGTGAAAATATGTGTAGTCTCTGCCACTGTCATGTAACAGGGAGTAAGTTATCTAAAGGATTAAAAAGAAGTTGTTAATCTATCTTTTCCTTTTGTTGGATAGTTCACAACTAAATAAGTACTTAAAGAGAGGAAGAACAGTCTTGTGTTTGAGAACTTGATTGGGGCCAAGAAAGCTGGGTACAACTGACAGCTTGAGCAATCTAGTTTAAAGTCTATTAACTTCCTTGCATGTTGACTGCTGATCTGTAAAGGAAATAAATTTGTCTTGTCTAATCAGTTCCTGAGTTCACTAGTTCACATTTGCACAGCGCTTGTGCAACAGCACTCAAACGCAGCTAAAGATTCCCAGTACTAATATAATGGCCACAGGTGAGCTGAATTTGAACTTGCTCAGTATCATGGACCGTGTTCTAGACTCATATATATGTTTTCGTGCACTTGACTTCAGCTTGCACTGTTGTTCTAAGGATATACCTACTTTCAATTTTTAAAATCAGTAATGAATACATCCACTTTTGGTGTTAACTTGACATATTTGTAAGGATTCAGTTTTCAGTACCCCCAATGATTTACAACTCACAGAGGCTTTTAAACACATTTTTTCTTCCATTAATTTATCCAATCACAGGTCTATGTAGACCTTTCCAAACCAGAGCATTCTATAGCAAGTTTTTCACCTGAACCACAGGTTGTATAAATATTTCTTCTTTGTTTTCTGTCTTACGCCTACTAGTTTTAGTTGCATTTTTCACATGGCAAGACAGAGAAACATGTAATGAACTACTTTATTTCATCTCATGTTTCTCTGTTAGTCATCCCTTTTCTAGGTTGAAGATTTCTAGTCTATTTAGCCATTGTTCATACAAAAGTTATTCCATACCTTTCATCACAGAAGGTGTAGGTCCCCACTTGCTTACCTCACCATTCTGACCAAGGTCAAGGTCAGTGGCAGACACCTGAACAACAAATGTCCCAACAGCAGCTCCCTCCGTTACTGAGGCTTCATAAATAGATGAAGTGAAGAATGGGACATTGTCATTGACATCTAAAACATCAAAGAGCGCATAAAGAGAAAACTATGAAACTTTAAGAGAAGGGAAAAAAAAGTACTATGATTATACTGTAACATCACTGAACAGCTTACACACCTGTTACATTAATATAGACCGTAACGAATGCTGCCAGAGGAACTGCAGCAACATTCTGTGCTCGAACCCTCAGCAGAAAGCTTTTTGTTGTTTCATAATCTAGTGGCTCAGCTACCAGGATTGAAGCAGAACCATCATGTCTGTTTGGAGTCAGGTAGAAACGAACTGGCATGTTGGTCTCCGGAACAAGACCCTCTTCTAGGTTGTAAGTCACACGGGGATCACCAAGGGGAGAAGTTGCTTTGATTGTCTGCACAGTTCAAAAAGTTTGCGTAATCAACACTTCTGTAAGTACAGCAACATTTCTAAAAGCTTTTGTGTATTGACTCTCCCTGACCTTAAGCTTTCAGCTGAAACCACTAGGACAATATTTCCTAATACCAGATTTTAACCCTGTCTGATACATCTCCAGGCCACAAACAGCTGCAGCCAAAGGTTACCAGTCATTACATGTTTGGTTACTCAAGCTTTTATCCTAAAAATACATGTTTTGGAGCTACATCATAAAGCTGTTCTGATCACCCATTCCAAGCAATCAAACTGAACTGAAGCCCAATAATCACCTCAGGTAACAGAGAAGCATTCAAAAAACTGGAACACCTATAGTTTTGTCCAAATGGGAAGGAAATTAAATAATGGCTGCACACATATAAATTAGAGTAAAAATGCTGGTTACTGTTAGCATTTCTGAAAGAAAACTGATATCAAATCATTGGTCCCTACAATACACAAAATTGTTATAAATGCTCACTATATTTAAGCAAATAAGCAACATTCAGTTACTCTATAGCCTTAGAGCTATAGACAGACAAACAAGTCTGTCCCAACCTTACCAAAACTGATGCATCGCGTGTAGTATTCTCTGGAATAACAACTTCATAGCTGTCTCTTTCCCACTGTGGAGGTTGGTTTTTTGCACTAGTAATAGTTACTGCAAGTTCAACTTTACTGCTCCTATTGCCTCCATCCATAGCAATAATCTCTCGAATTACAGATGACCTCTGAAGAGTAAAAAAAGTTTCATTACGAAGGGTTTTGATCACGGCTCCAATGAGCTTTTTTTCCATTTCTTTCAAAAATAAATGAATACATAAAATTAAAGGCACACTTAAAAAAACCTGCACAGAAGAAAAACATCCACAACTGCTGAATACTGAGCTCAGAATATGAAGTAGGTGCAAAGCTGCTGAAAATTCTGCTATTTGCTTTACTTAAGATTGCTGGAAAATGTTGTTATTTGTCTCAATAACCTTAGCAAATTTCACACAAAGTTTAAAACAAAACGAAAAAAACCCACTTTGTGGAGCCCCTGAGTTCTTAAGCTTACCTGTCAACAGTTTTTTTATTAGGTCTGTAGGGTTCTAAATTTTAGCTACATGCAACTATTTGTTCATTATGCCTTCACCTTCCTGAGGGACAGCTATGCTTAGTCCACCATGACTAACATGTACCAAGTTGGGAATCTGTATCAGAAGCAAAATTTCACACTCTTTCACATTCAAGATTTGTGTCTTAACTCATTGCCTGTTAACATAGTCAAGTCCTACACCTGGGTTCTTGCTCCCCTGCTTACCATCTCAGCCCTCCAGTCCTTGGTATTAGTATGCCAAAGCTAATGACATGGGAAGAACAAGTTCTCGGAGGCAGTGCTACTGCTACTTTCCAGCTGAAAGCAGGGCTTGCTTATATGCAATTGACAGTCGATGAACTCATCAGCTAAAATCCTTAGACTCATGTTTAATTTAAACATGACGTATTGATCCTTTAATGTGAAGGGGTAACACAAACTTGTGACCTCAGTCCCTCTTATGATATATTGAGATAGGCAGCTTAAAAAGGAAAGCAAGCACCATACCTGGGATATGGGTTGGTTCACAAACACCCAGCCTGTAGTAGGATTAATTTGTAAATAATCTGGTTCTTCATTTGCTATTGAATATGTAATGGCAGCATTTGAGCTGTAGTCATCATCATGGGCTGCAACACGAAGAAAGCTGGTCCCAACTCTTGTGTCCTCTCTTAGAAAATCTAATGTAAGGAAGGGATATTTCAAACTGATCATTAATTCACTAAAGTACCATGAACATCTTACTAAGAAATGAAGAAATACTAAAGTAATAATGTATGGAAGCTATAACTTTACCTTCCTTGGAACAAAGGCCATAAAAAATCAAACTGAATATTTTAAAGAGCTACTATCACTCCAGAGCTATGGATCACATTTGAACTTCATATCACATTCATAACCTGGAATTCATATTTCGCATAAGATACTACTTTTTTTTTTGTCTTGTGTTTTTACTAAGGGACTAATTGCTCTGTATGAAATATACATAAACGGAATTTTAATTTACTGCATAAAACCAGAAGAAAAGGACCACATTGTCAGAAACTACTTTCTAGGATTTGCATAGTATAACTAACTGAGAATTATCAGTCTTCACGTTTGGTTTTTTTTATTAGTATTATACATGCCTCTGGGTGTTTATCCATAAGCAGGAAAGATTTTCTGAAGAACCAAGAAGGAAAAATAAAACAACAAACAATGAAGAATTATGAAATTCAAATGGGAAAAGTATGTAATCAAAACTTATGACAAAAATCTGTTAATCAGAAAACAAAGGATATAATTAGTGCTCAGCACTGTACACTTACATTCTTATTACAGCTTTCACATCTCTGTGTAGTGCCACAGACACTTGGTATACTCAGGTAAGGAAAGATACTGACATGGCTATTGTTTCAAGGAATTTTCCCATAATGACACTCAGGAAGGCCTATGAGTCAAGATTGTACTTGTTATATGGCACATTACACAGACTAATAATTCTGCAATTAAGGTAAGTGCATCACCTAGTTGGTCACATGATCTACTGCCAGGAAAGACAAAACCCAAAAATCTTAGACTTCAGGTAGGCTCACACTCAGGGCACTGAAACTCTATCCAATGACTCTCAATTACATTCATAGTGGGTGTTTTCAAATCTGGGATCATTGTCATTTTGGTCCAGGATGATAATATTTATCTGGCACATTCCAATGAGTGGTTCCGCTGCCTGATCTGTTGCTGTCACAGTGATAGGATATTCCCTCTGTTTTTCTCGATCAAATACCTGAACAGTTGTCAGAACTCCTGAAAACAAATTAAATACCAGAGAGTTAAAATACTACGCAATTGACAATACTCTACATTTAGATGTTTGTCTGTCAATACATTGAGATACAGTGCAATAGGTTAAATACACTTATAATGTGAACTTCAGGTTCAAGGATCCAATCACAAGATTTAACAATTTCAACAGCTTAAATTGTACTGCTCGGGCAGATACAAACTTCATATACACTTACATCTACGCATAATTGGACTTAAATTTAGAAAATGGAGATAAGTACCAAGCTAACTTTAAGAGAATGTGTTTATAAAAAAAATATTTCGAAGAGCAGTAAGTACAGGGTAAAGGCATGTTTCATGGTTTTTTATCCTCCAAAAGATCAGCCTGAATTTAGTTTTGGCCTTTGAAGACTTAGTCTTTTTGCTGTTTGTAAGACTACTGTCATTTGGATAAATCATTTATATGCCATTAACAATGTTGCAAGATAATGTGCACTTAAAATATGGCGATTTTTTTTAAATCCGGTTACAAAACCACAGAAGTTATTGCACAAAGCAGAACTTCCACATTTCAGGGAAAGCATCAGTTCTAGCTCAGTACTGGATATGTATGAAACTAAAAGGACAGTATTTATTCATGCAGTTAATACAGTTTGTATTTTGCCTGCTATCAAAAAAAACTAAATGAAAAAGCATGAAGTCTGATTTTATTTAAGCTTTTTTCCCATCAGTGTAACAAAATGGTTTCTATATGCCAGTATCAGTTCTGAAATTCGCTTTACCTGTGTCAGGATGAATATTAAATGCTGGTAAGACACCACCTCTGTGCATTAAGCCATATTTCACTATACCATTGGCTCCTTCATCAGCATCAGTGGCTTCAACCTGCAGTACAACTGTCCCTGAAGGCTGGTTTTCCAATACAGAAGCATGTTCCTGATAATACTGACACTAAGAGAAGGGAGAAAAAAGAAGAAAAATCAAGGACTTACCATGCCACTTGATTTAAAGATATATTAGAGGGGAAAAAAAAAAAGGACAAAAAAGATTTAGCTACACTTCTATTCACATGCACTGATGTTAATGTTTTATCTGTACCATGATTAATTTACAGACTTCACTTGCTATTTTGCAATTATACGAACAACACACAACATGAGGCCACTGAGCATCTCCAATTAATGAAAATATTTGGAGAAAAAGTTACAGTTGCATATACTTCCAAATTCAAGTATTTTTCTATATTAGCAAAAGTCTTATAAAAAACCTGGCATACACTTGCCCAAACAACAGAATTGCTTTAGCCGAAAAGGGATTCTACACAAAGTAACTTTATCAAGAACACATTACTGACAAGACTGACATGAATAGTCACTGAATTTTCAAAATATGCAACATTGCCCTTCAACATTTTAGCCATTCAGCATCAAACTTGAGATTTTTAGACAACAGATCTTTAATATGAATTAACATCCTGAAAATATATTCATGCATTTATTTTTTACAGTACTTTACAAATTAAGCTAAAACACTTTCATTCTTCTCTCTTTCATCAGTTCCAGACATCGAATCATCAAATGAAGCCTATGTAATTTAGAGAAGTACTTTGGAATGTTTTGGAACAAGTCCACTGCATAGCTACCTATACCTATCAATTCCTCCTCACATACATCACACTGAACCTCCAGAAGTTATTCACTCAACCTCATCTTCTGAAATGCCAGAGATGAGATGTGGTTCAGGGAAGAGACAGTGCTCATAGGAGCTGCTCTGCCCCAAGAGGAAAGCAAACCCTGTAAGTCTTCGGTGAGGGATGGAAAAGATGCAGAAGACAGCGGCATCGGGACTCAAAGAGAGACAAAATTCTGACCAATTCTGCTTGCAGTGACAACACAGTCTTAAACATTTACCACACAGTCTAACACAAATGACCAAGCCTCATATATTTACCTTCTGAAAGACAGGTTTGTTATTGTTGACATCATCAACTTTCACAACAACCTGGGCAGTACTTGTAAGAGCATGGGGCCCTCCAGAAGCGTTATCATCAGTAGCTGTGACATGAAGTACATATTCTGTCCCCTGCAGCTTAGGAAACGGACTTGAACGAAGTCTAACTAGCCCTGTGAAAACAACAATAGGTTGCAGGTTTTTATTTTTTTACTACATTAACCAATTACTGTTATTAATCTCACTAGCTAGCATGACAAAGAACCATTCTGGTTTACCTATTCACCAATAAACCACAAGGCTGCTACAGTTTAATTTAACTACGGTATTTTTACTGCAGTCTGATATTGAACCAAAACTAAGACAGCACAACAGGTTTGTTTGTCTGCAGGTATGTCTACAGAGCTAAATGAGACAACAGCTACCACTCATTATATAAAGCTGACGTGCACATATTAGCTTTTGTCTACCTGCTGCAGAAAAAAAACAAAACGAAACAAAAAACCCAGAGAAACATTGTGGCAGACTTCTGTTTTACCTGCATCTGCTCCACCAGCAAGCCTGGCTATGTTCCTTTATCACTACTGCAATGAAGCACGTGTCACCATGTCTACTGCTGTAGCTATCAATGCTAGCTCAGCTGAAACTAATTCAAGTTTACCTTCCTGCAGCACAGTCATAGCAGCATTTACCTAGACAGGCATATCCCCAGAAACCTGTCTTTTACTACTCTCCCAAGTCACCCAAATGATACACCCTGCTGGATGGGACATACAGGCACTGTCAGAGAAAGATGTATGAAAGATTTGCTACAAAAGCAAAAGAGACTACAGCTATCTGAGACCATGCATAAGAAGCTGTCATTCTTTTGCTCCATCATCCATCAATCACCTCTGCTATTCATCAGGCATAACAGCAATTGTCATTACGACAGAGTATTGTCACAGCATCCATGTCACTCAATTTGCTTGCAAATGTATTGTTTTAGCTGCAGCACTTATTTTTGACACATCTCCACTTTACCATGACATTTCTGTGACAAGGGGGTACAGACTATTCCCCTGACTGACAACATTTCTGAAAAGAAACTGCTGCAAGCCACTGTATAAACTTTTATAGGTTTATTAAGCAACAAAAGCCCCGAAGTGTTTTGAAAAAAAATGCTAACATTTCTAAAATTAAGTTTCAAAGACTATAAAAATTTATTGGTAAAAAAGTATAAAATTACATGTACACGATTATCTGTATTAAAACTATGGAGCTAATCCTAAGAGATGCTATCAATCAAATGTTAAGATTCTTGGAGCACTTAGAATAAAGATTTTCAGAAGCATCAGATATACTACCCCTGTGTCAATTAGACACTTTGAAAACCATTGTTCCTCTTCAGGTGCCAAAGTATCTTTAGAAATTTACTCTTGGAACCTACAACTCTATTTTTAAGTCAGAAAGGATAAAAGCAGCTCTCAATAAATTCAGGAACATGCTTCAACACTTGCAAGTTACCTGCAGACCATATTTTTGGGAACATTTCAGAATCTAACATTAATATTGCAAAAAACATGATTTGCATTGAAATTAAAATTTCATGCTAAGTGAACTCTGCAAAGTATAGAAGAGGAATAACTTAGGGCAGCTTACTCTTTCTGACATAATCAAGGCTTGTGCTTTGAAAAATGTAAGTTCAGATTTTGATTGCAGTTCAAAAGAGGTTAAATATAAAGTAGTTTAACTGAAGTTAATTAAGTTAGTTCAATCCTTCAATAAGATTTCAATTTGGTTGCCTGTTTCTGTCTCAAAACATCCTCTTTTTTTTTTTTTTCAAGCAATCAACAGCAAATAAATCCTATTAATTTAAAGGGATATGCCAGCCTACCCTGATGATATGTGTGTGTGCTTTTTTTTTTTTTTTTTTTTTTTTAAATGAGGACACCAATGTTGTGGGACTTTTTCCTTTGGGGTTTTAAAAATATGCGACTGCTGACAAGAATTTAAAAAGACGTAAAAACTGGTATTCTCCACACTTTTTTTTTTCTCGTGCATGCAGCATTCTTGGCTAAATAACACTGCTCACGTGAATGATTCTGTCCTTGAACGAAATTAAATAAATGAAAAATACAGTTACTTAGTTCATATTTTATATACTTTACCTTCATTGAAATAAAACAGTGCTAGCCTCATTCCGCCTACAAATGTATCATTTTGTGTCAGTACAACAGAAATAACCTCAGCTAAAAAGTGTTTGCTCACACATGCATAATCAGGACATAGACATAAGCACAGGGGGAAACAGCCTCATCTAAAAACCCAAACGTCTGCTTTAAACCAGTTAAAACTGAGTTATTGAAAAAGTTGCACAAAGAAAACTATCCAGTCAGCACTGTCATCCTATTGTTTTTCCTCGTCGCATGGCTATGTGATTACTAATAGTATCTTTGGCTAATTGCAGCAGGTGGATGTCAAGCTTTGAGTGCACCAACAGGCAAACTCTTCCTCCTGCTCGCCCGGTTCGGCCGCCCGCGCTCAAGGCCAGCTCTGACACCAGGCAGCCAGCTAACCTTGCATCGGACAGGTAGCTGTTGTCAGCCCCGTCCGTGGCCTCTGCCCCGTGCCTTGGGAGCTGCGCCGAATTAAGCTCCGGTCCCTTCCTGAGCTCCCCCAGGCGTGTGCGGTACCTGGCCAGGTATATTGCTGACCCTGACGCTGCCTCGCTGACTCGGCTTCCCAGCTGGACCCGAGACCTGCCTCGTCGCTACGTATTTAAATGTCTGGTGGCTGCTGGACCGTTGGGTGAACCAGGTTTATGTCTCGGGACCTGCTCTGCTCTTCTTGCTCGGGGACAGCGAGGTCCCTGCCTGTCTTGCTGTCACCCCTGACTCCCATTTCACCTTACCCTGCACAGCAGCTTGTCCTTGCTGCAACTTTGAAACTAGTTTCCTAGATTAAGTGTTATTCAAATCCTTGTTTGACATTTTGCAATGTCACACTGTTATCAGTAAATACATTCTCTATTAAGTACTGTCTATTAAGTCACCTGTTACCTATAATAATGCCCTCTGTTAAGTTACTGACTGAAAGCAAACAATGAACAAGATAGGTCAATTATACAAAGCTTTTAGGAAAATGATACTTTTTTTAACCTTATAAGAGAGTCTAGAACAATTGCAACTTTTTCCTGCACTTTTTAAAATAAGCTTAGTGTTAGTTTCAAAAATAGCATATCCTATTTATTTTTTATTATTGCTGCCTAATGAAGACCAAATTCAAGCTGCATCACGTCAGAATCAACATTATGACTGCAGCAGCAAAGAGCTAGTATCTTACTACCTTTCTTAGGGTCAATAACAAAGTTTCCTTTCTGATTCCCAGAGAGAATATCATATGTCACACCATCTCCATCAGGGTCAACAGCATTAACTGTAGCAATCAGTGTGTTTGGGCCTGCATCTTCAGAAACGAAACTCTTGTAGCTGTTAAAAAAATTATGACAACATATTTATGAATTTAGACAGGAAAAAATATATACAGAACTATGCAGAATATATGCAGAACTACTGATTACCTGTACAATGGGTATTGCAGAGATTTATAATTTATTAATACAATTACACAGATAAGATGCTTCTTCATTAACCAGTGAAATGATAAGTATTGATGATCTATCCAACCATCCATGTCTTTGTTGTTACTTCCCATAAATTTCCATTGCAAACTTTCAGCAGTATTGAAGCTTAGCTTTGCAACAAGACTTATGCTAAATGCAGAATTAACTTTTTTTTTTTAATTTAAAAAAAAGAGTTGCATGATTCACAGAATCAAAGCAAACAGTTGCTAAGTTAAAGCATTCCTTGTTATAGCACACTTTCTGACACAAGCTCTCAAAGTGCTTTCAGTGCAGCCTTTGCACCAGCATGACTAGGATGAGAATCAGATCTGGAGGATATGCACATAATGTCAGTTTTACAAAAAAATCTCTTCTCAAGTCCAGACACATCACTGACATTGTAAGCTCTTAAGAGGCATTATCAGCCTAAGCTTAACGCTCTCTGGAGTAGAAAAGCCCCCTGCTTTAGCAAAGTCCCAAATATTTATTATTTTATCCGACTAGATTGAGCATAGCCCAGACTAAGCATACTACAGATCTGTCCCTAGTAGGTATCCCAAAGCTGTAAGAATGAACTACAGCTGGCTGTATCCAACAATATAGATCACTGGGTTCAGAGTGCTTATGGACCCACTCTCCATATGCTGAGAATAGGAAAAAAATCAAAGGAAAAGAAAACGGATGCACAGAAAACCTCTCCCTTAGCTTTTGTTGTCTAGATATGTGTGTTCTCATCAAAACCTTCATAGAAACAGCTTTTTTTCTTCCCCCAATTTAATATGCAATGAAGTAAGAGAAGTAAATTATTCTGGTTTTGCTCAGTCACAACCCTCAGGACACTGTCTTAACTCTGCATCTGGAAAGCAAACGAACAGTAATTCTTACAATTTTGAACATGAAATAGGGACAAAAGAGTCCAAGTCATCAGAAGAGGTCTCTTAAAAAGGAGAAAGTAAAAACTGACAAAATGAAAGAGTGGTAGCCTTAAGCATTTTGTAACTGAGATAAAGAATAACCATGATGAAAGAAAGCTCATGGCAAGGAACCATAAGTTTATACTGGACTGTAAATCCATTTAAACAAAGGGCTAGGACAAGATCATCATCTTGATTTGTATTAGCCTGCCACAGAGCATAACGTTAATTGCAAACTAGTCTCTCAACAGGACCTGATTTATGGGTGTTCAGGATGAATTTGTTTCACAGAAAACTTCAACTAAGTTCTGTCTGAAATTCACCTTTGGGTTCAAGATTTTTTTTTCATAACGGAAGAGATAAAGTAAAATCAAAGCCTGGTTAACCTGGTTAAACAAAAACTTGAGATAATTTGAATTCCAGGAGCTGAATTCAATTCCAATGCCAATCTACACATATATACAATAGCAGTTTCCCTGCACAGCGAACAGAAAAGCTTCTTGTGAATGTTTGGTAATTTAAAATAATGTTCATTTTAGTCATATTGTTCAGTAAACTTTAAATACAAGAGCTGGCAGGTTTTTTTTTAAACTATGTTTTCTGCTTCCAATTTGTTAGAGATGTTTACAGCATCTTTAATACTATCACTCTTTTCTGATTAAAAAATTAGGAACAGATACAAGACTAACAGATACAGATAAATATTCAATGACCCTGAATATTAAAACAAATAAATAATGAAAAATAGGCATCATCTGAAGAGCAAGAAACTTAATTTGGTTTAGTATTTGAAAATGCATAGAGGTCCAATAAGAATTTCCAAAAGATCAACTTTTCCAGGCCATACCTCCTAAGCAAGGTTTAGGAAAGAAAGTAAGGCAGAAGATTTTGAAGCCAGAGGTTACCTTTACATAAAGTAAGGACTGTCAGAAAGCTTTGATGATCTGTTCAGCTAAACCACAAGCTTAGCATCACTGAAATTTCTGCCTGGATTTTGTTCTGAGTAACTTCTACTTTTAAGAGTAGAAGGCTGATGCAGAAGCTGACTGAGAATTCCATTACTAAGCCTCTAATATGAATGCAAGTTTATAGTACCTTTCACATTGCTTCAGGCACTTCTGAGCCCCAACTATGGAAGAAAAATGCTTACTGATGCTTTAGAAGAAAAAAAAAAAAAAGAAGTACAGTTTGTAGGGCATGGGACTAAGTGAAATTAAGTGAATACCGCTTATTGACATTTATCTTGTGGTTTTTATAATTTAGTGGTCATTTAGGATTCTATCATCTAAGCATTTTTCTCTAACAATTGTAAACCAAGGATGCCAACTGTTGACTCTGTCTAAGCTTAAATTGCCTGATTAAAAGGCAAAATTCCACCATGTACTCTGGATGAGGGCTGAGGACAACACTGAGTTGCCTGCTTTTTCTGTTTGATTTCCTTTGGTGGTGGAGGGGTCCTATTGAAATGTATAATCTGAAATTACTGCAACACCTCTTTCAGTACATATTGGAAAAAAACTAAGTGCAAGATCTGTCAAAAGAGGCTGTCTATATACTATCTCTATGTAGCTAAATACACAGGTCTTACTACACATTGAAAGTATGTCTAAACGTTACAATTTAAAACCAAACTTAAACTTGTTTCTGGTTTGGTTTTTTTTACTGATAGTAAGACAGTCTCAGAGTCAAAAGACCATCCCGCATTTGTCACTGCAACTCTCAGATTTGACTGAACCAAAGCCAGTTACCATCCTGTAATGATAAGCCTTTTGACCAAAATATAAAAAGCAATAGTAAAAGACAAAAATAACAGAGTTTTAAGAATATGTATTTACATTGCCTGGGAAAACTCAGGTGCTTCATCATTCACATTTGAAACATAGATCCTAACAGTTGCTGTCCCAGTTTTTGGCTCTTCCCCTTTATCTACAGCCAAAATTATGAACTCATAAAGATGGTTAGGTCGCTCATAGTCCAACCGTGTTGCTGGAAAAATAGTACCATGAGAAGTAATACTGAAGTCTTGACTCAAAGTGTAATACAGTAATTCAGCTTTCTCTTTTGAATCGCAGTCAGTGGCTGTCACTATTAAAAGAGAAGAGAAAGACACTGTGTAGATCAAAGTCTGTGAATTGAAATGTTAAGTACTTTAACAAGAGAACTAGTGTGTAGTATAAAACTGTAACAGCATTTACCTTGGCATGTAGTGCTTGAAATAATTTCTAAAACTCTGCTATCCCCTGTGCTTTTTATTGAACTAACCCTTAATTGAAAATGAGTTGTTTAAAAAAAAAAAAGTTAAGTCCCTGATTGAATTCAGCCACTAGATTTTGCCTTTGTCTGCTGGGTTTAAAGAGCCCTGTACTACCAAGAACATATTCCCACACAGAGACATATATTCTCATGTCCACCTGATCTATACTGCTGATCTAAGATCACTCAGACAGATCACACCCTGTGTGATTAAAGATGAAATATTTGCATATATTATTCAACTGATGCAAGTTAGGTGTTTGTCGGATCCTACCCATAACCTACAAAAACCTATGCTAAGAGTGCAGTTACCAAAATAGTAACTGACAGACTACCATTAGTACAGGATAAGTCACTAAGTAGAACAGTAGGTGGTTATAAAATCCTATTTACTAGGAAACAGCAATTTTCCTGTAGTTTGATTTCCTTTTTCCCCTCAAGATTTATAGAAAGTTTATGTAAGGGTTAAAGACTAACATAAGGCCCTTCTACAACTGCTTAGTTGACATAAATTTGTTTTATCGCTAGGACTTACTCATTTCTCTATAAACATTTTAATGTAAGGTTCGTGCAGTTTACAAAATCAAAATTTACATCATTTACAGAGCATCATAATTTAAAGCTTAAATTGGTTACATTGGGAAGAAGTAAAATCTTTTTCCCAAGTATCCAAACAAAACCAGTCAAAAAAGCAGTATTCCCTAAAGCAAGCCCACATAGGACTCAAAGAGAGGCAGAGATGGTGAGCTGATGTGTCCATAATTTCTGATCCAACATCGCTTTCTTCCTTCAAAAAAACAAATGTTGCAAGATTGCTACTATAAGCTTGTTGCTATAATACCAACCACAACTGAAGTGCTGTTACTTCAAAATCCTACAAAGATATATTTTCTTTGTCTCCTGTCCCCCAAAATTGTTTGGGCTGTGGCAGTAGTAAATAATTATGATCCAATTCTACAAGGTGCCGTTTGCTTTCAGAGAGTTGCAACTACCCATATGTTGGGGCAGGTAATTTTACCTTCTGAACTGAATTCTAATTAGTGGGAGGAAAATAAAATACTCATACTGAATGTAACAAATCATTGTAGAAGTACTAACCTTGTAGAAGCGCAGTTGTCATAGTAACTGTTTCAGGAACACCAATTTTGCTGTAAATCAACTGATGAAATTCAGGGGCACAATCATTCACATCTGTGATTACAACCAAAACCTTAATGGAGAAGAGGGGAATGTTAAACAGCAAAGTGAATCAAGGCAATGACTTCATTGCTTTAGAAGTATCAGATGGAAGAACTTCCTAAAAACATCCTTGAGGTCTTCAGAAGCTGTAGCACATAGGATAAGCCATTTTTCTTAGATTGCTTTTTTCCTGCTGGGAACCATTGAAATATTAGATTCCAAAATACTAGGAATTGCCAAGTCCCAGTCCCTTGCAGCAACATTTTCCACTCACCCTTCCCCTCCATTGATTATTCCCAATTACTAATTTAAAGGAAAATGGACCATCTGCTTTCTAAGCATCCTTTTTCCATTATCTTATCTTCCAACACTTCTGTGATTTGTAATACTAAAAGTTCTATTGCCAAGTATAATACATTTTAGCAGTATAAATCTCCGAGACCAAGTTCTGAATTCAATTACAGCAGAGTAAATCAGACATAAATGGAACTGATTATGGTAAAACAAGTAAGAAATATAATTCTGCTTCTAACATCTTTAAAAATGTTTTCTTATTCTTATGTCAAATATGAGCCCACAGTTGCATTGTTTACAATCCAAACAGTAAGGAGTGTGTTAAATTAGCCTTTGTGGCAGTTCATACTGCTACACTTCAGAGTGTCTGAAGTTGGTTGAGGTATTCTGCATTACAGTGCAACAGGTAGATGCATACTCCATCTACCCTTACATAGGTTCGTATAAACTGGGAGTACTGAGGTTGTATCAGTGTAAAGCAGGTACAAGTTAAACTATGTTTAGGCTAAATGTATTTGTAAAATCATCTTATAATCCTCTTTCAAGTCATATTCTACCACTCTTCATCTTGTAGTACATAAAAGGGTCAATAGAAATTATCAGTCTCTGCTGTGTTACAGCCACTGTTTGTTACATTGACATACTGTCTTGCTGTCTCTCTGTGTCCTCACACTTGTTCCTCTTAATTCTGCCTCCTGTTCCCTCTATAGTGTACATCTTATCTCCTCCAGCAGGAACAAACTGTTATATTGCATGCATTTCCTAGCTCAGTGAATCCTTGAATTCCAACAACTGTAATAACTATATTTAGAAATATTTTTGCTGTCAAACAGATTTCTAAAACACCATGAACCATCACATTTTAATATCTGTGAATTTTTATTACTTTCTCTCTTTACAACTTCACTTCGTGTTCTTGATACGAAACAAATCATTTTCTGTTCTGCCTTTGTTTTAAATTGGAATAATCTCAAATATACATCATAGTTCATGAACGTTTAGAGTAAGACAAAAACCCCATGTCTGGCTTGGCCACATCCAGTTCCATATCTTCCCAGACAAGGCCTAGAACCTATGATGGAATGGCATATTGATCCCTCCGAAATAGCCTTTTCAGCATCTGCAAGACTGAACCCTCAGAGTACCTAAACCAGCCCCCAACAGCTACCCATAGACAGAAAGACTTTTAAAATGGACAGCAGAAAAGACAGCATGAGCTGGGGAAATGGGACTCCCTAGTGAATCTGTACAGAAATCTGGAAAGGCTGAAAGAAAATGGAAATACATACAGACTGCAGAAGTGAACACCTACCTCAGCTGCACTACTGAAGTGTTCCTCATTTTCCTCTGCTCTGACCAAAAGAAGATACTGGTGTTGGTCACTCTCATAATCCACACTCCGAGTTAAACTAATATCTCCTGTTGCCCAATCAATACTGAATAGACCACTAGGATTAGTCAGTAAACTGTAGCTCAGGGATTTCTTTTGATATGATACAGCAGTGACTGTAAGAAAGCTGCATTTAAAAAAAGAAGAAAAAAAAAAAAAAGAGGACTTTTAAGCACGTAATACAACATACTGAAGAATATGACAAAAATGGTACATATCAGAAATGATGGTGCAATCCTGTAGGTCTGATCAGAGCAACACTCAGTGAAGTCAGTGATAGCTGTACCTAACCACCAAATTCAAACATTTTGTTATACAGTAGTTCTACCATCTTGAGGTTAAACAGATAAAGATAGGATTCTTGGAAGCAGAATACCGTAAGGATTAAAAACACAGGAACAGAGGATTTCATTTTTGCTGCAACTGAATTTGCCTACTCCAACTTTCTTCTATGGTATTGATATTTTTCAGGCAGGAAACTAAAAGATAAAGCAAGATGCAAAAGATTCATTTTAATAACAGCATGGTGCTGCTGCAGTCATACATCCTAAAGTTTCAACAGATAACCGCACAAGGATAAAAGCCAGTCACTAACAGTGTGCATGTTACAGGTTATACGGGACATATGTTTTTAGCTCTTGTCTGGCACTGTCTTTTTTCCACTGAAGTCCAATGTGTTTAAAGTCCTCAAGTAGGAAAAACGCTTGCAGTATGAAGCAAAAGAAGAAATTAAAAAATAAATATTTTTAAAGGGTTTAAAACAGAATACTAATTCCTCAAGTGTTTGTTGCTTTATCATGCACGTTTCCTAGGAAGAAGAATTCTGTCTCCCAGGAGAACCCACCAACATGTATGATCCAGTGACAAGTACAATCAAAAAGTCAAAACTCAGTTTGTCCAAACACCTTTTTCCCCTGTTGTATTTCCATGCTGCTGCCTTCTCACTTCCCTCAGGCACACTACTGAAACAATGGAAAAGGTTACTGTAGGTCATTATCTCACTTAGTCTTTTTCTGTATTTTCCTATCATATGGTCTCACAGTCAGTTTCAGCCAGCACAGGACCGTATTGCTGCCAACAGGAATTACTTTGCCCTCCTTCTAACTCTCTACCCTGGCTGCATGTTCATGCCACTTCTCCTCTCCTGTCAGCACTAAAAATCACAAGGCCATACTGTGAGCACGTTTAACAACCCAACTGAAAACTTTTTCTTCTTTTTTTGGCTTTGCCTTTCATCGGATCAGCTTGCCCATGCAGCTAGCATATTAGCATTAGTGGCAGACCAAAGGAAGAGAAAGATTTGGCAACGCTCTTCCGCTCAGCAGCAGTCTTAAATCAGCCTACAATTTTGAAATCCTAAACCCAAAAATCCAGTGCATGACAGCAACTCTGTTTTCCTAAGTACTTGTGTAATTGGTCCAATTTAAATATTATAACTTTAGGATTCTACACGACTTTTTATGACTATTTCTGCTCAACACAAAACAGGAAACCACTTTCACTGGGTGCATTGTGTATATTCAAACCCCTTCTGTCATACTAATAACTGCATTAAATACTTCATTCCTTTTGGATAATGCCAAGTAATTTGACAAACTGACTAATATACTACCATCTTATGTGTGCAAACCTATTTTTAAATAATGACAAAAAAGTTATAAAGAATTTCATTATTTTTAATCCTAAACATTATTGAACCCAAGATGGCAGGTACCTGTTAGGTATTGTAGCATTTTGCAGTTCTTGCATTTCTTTTATGCCTGTGCTATTTAAGTTTATTGCAGTTTTAAAGAAAAACCTTGTTATCTACTATTAACAGTTGCTTATTTTTTTAATCTTAACACATCTTGGTTATTTAGGCACTGTAAAACTGCATGTTGTAGACTGAACAGTAAAATACAACACCACAGATAATGTAATATGAATAACAGTTGAATGGCCACACAAGGAAGACATTTACTGGACAAAAGTATTCTCGATTCAACTGGAAGAGAAAGTGTTTACCATAAGAACAAAACAGTTTGGGAAAGACAGAACTGAGTATTCAGGTGAACCTATGTTCCTAATGCTTTCTAAGATATTTAGATCCACATTGTTAGACAAAGGATGGAAAAATGGCAAGTTTCATGGCATCTTCTCAGCTTGCCACCATGATGAAGAGAGCAAAGACAGTCTTTTGTTTTTTCCGATGTTCACTTGATGGAGAAGGCAATTCTCCAAATTTGACACATAAAATTAATATATTCTTTCACACCAGGATATCTTTCTTCATGATGTAACAGCTGAGTTTGTATTCTGCATTTTGTTTGAAAATTAAGACACAATCAACATCTACTAATACTTTCCATATCATTTAAAAAAGCAAGAAACTGTAATGATTCAATGATGCTTTTCTGTATAAAAGGGTGACTTAAAAATACATCACTCAAACTGTATCTTCATCACTTCTATGAAGATATCTAAATTGCTACTCACAGCATCTATTTATGATTCACAAACAATACTGAGGCTTTGGGGAGATCAAACGGAAGTTAAACGAGGAACACAATCTCACTGAATTGTTTTTAACTGTTACTTACGATTTTCCTTGTGGCATACTTTCAGGAACATAAACAAAGTATGACATGTTGGTGAACTGTGGTGGTCGAAATCCAGCAATTACAGAAATGGAGGCTGGAGACCCTCTGCTTCCAAGTTTATCTGCTGCTAGGACAGTCAGTAAATACTCCTTGTCCCTCACCAATGGCAAACCTGTCGTTTTAATCCAGCCAGTGTCCTTCTCAACTTCGAATCTGTCTTCACCACCTAAAATGAACAGATCCACAAACTGTTGTTAGCAAGAACATTTTTATTGGATTAAAATTAAGAGGAGAATACAGTATCAATTCCCAAGTTGCTTTTGGCTTAGAATCAGCATGCACACAAAAATCCAAAAGTCTGTTTAGAACTTAGAAACCAGAAATCAGTAATTACATTCATGATTACGTTTCTAAGTTGCATTTTACTTCTCTGGACAATTATCACTCTTCTTTATCCTCCAATACTTTGCTGTTGTTTGACCCTAAATACTCCCTACCAGAAAACACCCTGCTAGAGTCCTGGCCAAGAGGAACAAATTCACCTTTGAAGCAGTATTGCTACTCCCCTCCTGCTTAAACAGTGTTGAACTATTAGTGAAGTTTCTTTTAAGAGCCCCACAAAGAAAATTATTAATGAGTCTGTACTAGCTTTGCAAAGCTAAGGCACAACCCAGAGCCTTAAAAATTTGTTAGAAATTAACCAGAAGCACGACTCCCACAAGGAAGAAGGAACATTAACCCTCTCTGTGCAACCAGCTGTGCTCCACATACTGCCCCATCTCATAAACAGGCAGTCCAGCAGAGAGGTGCTGACTACTGCTGCCATTACCACCGCCTTGCCAAAGCTCTGAGGAGTACTGAACTGCTCCGGTCCCCATCATCCCCTGGGGGACGATCTGGGCAGGAACCCAATTTTGCAGGGAGAACACCCTTCAAATCTGGCAAGTCTGTCCGTACCCTCAATAAAAGTTGATTTTTCTCACATACAGAGCTGAAGGCTTATGAACCTTTTGCAGGAGGAAGGGAAGATCTTTCACTAATGAAACAGGATAAAAGACCAAAAAGTCACAACAGTGAAGCCTAATACACAGGGAATGACAGAGTTAAAATTTACCTTCCAAGAGAAAATATTCTACAGCTCCATGGATCCCTTCATCTGCATCCACAGCATGCAGCTTGTATACTTCAGTACCTCCTGCAGCTTCAGGGGAAACCACAGCCAAGAACGGGAAGGGCTCCATGGCCCACTCAGGTACGTTGTCATTCACGTCTGTCACAGTAAGTGACAAGCGCACCAAGTACCAATCCTTTCCTAATGGCCACAGAAAAATGAAGAAATACTTAGACATTTTCTCCTTAATAAATGTATATATACTTCCAACTGAAAAAAAAATTCTTCCTTCAATCACACACGGCTACCTCAGATTTTGAAGCAACTTAGCTTGGGTAACACAAGACTGTGAAAAGGTATTGTTTTTGTAACTGGTAATATTTATCAGTAACATCAGGGAGCACAGTATAATTATAACTTAGCCCTTTTGGCCACCTTGGTTCCAAGTGGACTGGCACTGAACTTGTAAAATGTTTTGCTACAGAAGCCAACTTGAGTGTTCCTGCAGTCCCTATTTAATGCCTCTGGCTCCAGAAAAGTGGTGTATGCACAGCCCGTTAGACTCTGAGAGCAGTACAACTGAATTGACATGGCCTTATGCCCCAGCTAACAAGCCTGGGGAAGTGAAAGGGAATGTGGTCCAGGCAGAAACAGCTGTCTACATTTATAACACAATTTATCCACAAGTTTAATAATGGATGCAAAGTCAGAATTTTTAAAGTTGATGGTGTTAATACTTGATTTCAGTGTGTATTTATTATTTATACATACATGAAATATCTACACACACGTATTTATTTTCAAAATAGCTTTACAGGAACTGAAACAACATACACAGAGGACCATCTAAAATTATCAGTTTTAATTTAAATCTAATTAAAAATACAAAGAACTTAGTATTTAAAGACTAAATATAAAGTGTCGCCAAAATGTCTAATCTCATGAACAGTGTTATCTTGCTAAGAATATTCTCCCAGGAAGGTGTGCCACTTAAACTGAACAGCTGTACTCTCTCTCCCTCTCCACTTCCTTAATTGCAGCATTACATCCCTCTCCAAAAAACATCCATGTTCCAACTAAAATACATTACTTTTGTCTGATGTATGCATTTACTGATGTTATCTCTTCATTCCCACAGAAGTACTAATATATCTTTCACATCAGCCTCTTGCAAGCTTCAGCTTTTCATGTTTAGGAACCTCTGTCTCATGGCAAGTGGCAAATTTAGTACACCGTATCATAATCTGCAATCTATAAACAACCAGTAAGTGGACTGTAGTGAAGAAAACTCCTTGGTGCTGTGACTAATAAAGTCAAATATAAATTTCTTAGTTTAGACTCCTGAGACTTAATCCACCATGACCTCTGTGTACTTTCTGTTCTTATCCAGAAAATTCTCTTAATAGAAAAATCAGCATTCACCCAAGATAATCACAGTTCTTCTTAGCTAAACTTGTGAAACTCTATTAATGAATTTGAATTTTTGAACTGTAATTGTTTTTTCTCTCTCTAGGACCAACAGAAAGTATATTGACAGTAACTTGTTAAATCCAAATCAATTTCTTTGTAATTGTCCTGTACTCAGAATCTAATGTTCCAGGGAATATAATATTAGCTTAAGATAGCACATATGAAAAAATGGTGGCTACAGCAAAACCAAACTTCTAATTTATCAAACAGTAAATCACAGAAGTGACCAGTTTCCTGAAAAAGAACCTTAAATATGCCTTGCACCACTGTAGAACATGGATACATGCAACACGCATTTTTACATTTTTCATGGAAAAATTCTCAGTTACCAAGTACATCAGTCTTCTCGACTCTAACTGAGATGACTTGTGTGTGTTATGTGTTGCACTTCTGCAGTCAGAAAGCATTGGGAGGCCTGGTGTAGGGATGCTCAACTTGGCTTCTCTAGCCCAATGTTCGTTATAACATTGCATGTGAAGCCAAAGTTTGCAAAGATAAACTCAAATTGCCCATTACAAAAAAAGACTGACACTGAGGTGAGAGTACTGTAGCCCACACTGCTATTGCACTGTCCTCATATTCAGCCAGGTATAATTCCCTTCAACATTTAGACAGACTCTGTGAAAGCAGCTGCATACTTTCTTCTCTGTACAGCACAAAAGAAGCCAGAAGGAGCATATTAAAAAAAAAAAAAAAAAAAAAATCCCAAAATCATGATGTAAAAAGCAGCAGCATGGATATTATTTCCCACTACCATACAAAATAGAACAAGATGTGTTTCAAAGTCAGAGATGTTTCACGTCAGAATGTGTGTTCCAAAAGTCCCAGGGCAGCCAGTCTAAACACCTGAAGAAACTGGAGAGGAGGGAACTTGTTAGATGTTGATCTGAGTCTGAGGTTGAAATACACCACACAACATGGTAAGTTCTAAGTGAGAAGTGCCAAGTATCAGTGTCTGCTTGAACGCTCCAAAGATTTTAATTAAAAGGTTGTCCAAAAAAGAATAAAGGGAGAAGTTAGTGTCAAAATTGCCTGTCTCTTCTCCAAAGAACAGGTCTTGTTGGAAGCTGTCACAAGTTGGTAAATACCCGCTATTAGCTTAGTTTGCCTGGATATACTGCAGGCTTAAAATAGCAAGCACTAAATTAGAAGCTGAGTTAAGAACCTTTGAGAATCTGCCTCTATAATAGCAACGTCTGTTGAGGATTTGAATACCACCTTGGTAACCCTGCCAGGAGTATAAAGGTTACTGACCTTTGTCTCTCTGGAGTCTGGAAATCAATATCCTAATCAACCCGTGAATTCATTCTGTTTCAACTTCTGCTAAAGTTCTTAACATGTATGTATTCCTCTAACAAAAAAATGAGTCACAATCAAAGAATAACTGATTTTTATTGAACAAATTGTAATAAACCTGGATACAAATTCCAGTCTTGTCACTTACTGACTGTCAGATCACTGAACTTATGGCAGTGAAATTATGGCACTTAGCACATAATTATAACTGAGAAATACCTTTTGTAAGGAAACTGTGGAAAACTACATCAGGACTGAGATTAATGCTCACATGCTTTTGCAAACTTTGTTAATCAAAAACTAAAAGGATGTGGGCATGCTCCTCCAGGTACTTGTGTTTTAATAGTTAAAAGACCTTAATGTCATTTGACATCTTGGCAAGATCAAAGCTTTCAGCAATACATTGGTTACCTCTGAAACACCTGAATACTCTTAAGAATTTTGTTAGGATAGTCAGCAGGAACTGCAATGCACATAATTGAAGAGACAGGCATAAGTGCCTCTCTTGACCAGTATACATTTCCACTGCATATGACCTTACAGATCTTATTGGTATGTTATCTTCTTCCATCAACCATAGACAATCTGATTTATAAGCAGAAATACTAAATAAATCATCATGATATCACTTTCAGATAAAGACAATCTGGAAGAAAATGACTGTAAGTTCTCCCTTGACTGCATACCATATATCAAAGCAAAAACTGTAACAGAAACACCGAACAGGACTGTACTTCTCTGCACTGAGACCTACAAATGTGACCTGACAACTTGTAGAAACAACATCAGGATGTCAAATGAAGCATGATCGGACAAGGACTTGTCAAAGGACAACGTGTGTGATGAAGAAACTGACATGGACAATAATGTGTAATATGTGTATGTCTAGCAGGACAACAGATTAAGAATTTCAAAGTATATGTTCGTGAACACGATTTTTTAAAGCATAACTCCTTATTCTAACAAGCGCAGCAAATATTTAAAAGTTTTTCATTTGTTGTAATTATCATGATATATACATTACAAAATGCAGTCTCTTATATTTTGTAACTGACATAGCTGCTTGCCTACAGAATAGCTGTGTTTTCCTTCAGAATGGGACTTAAACCAGAACTTTAACTAAATTTTAATACGGTATATAAAATTAATTTTCTCCCCTATTTATGAAAATCATTTGTGCTTCAAGACAGTGGAAGGAAGGAAATTTTAGAAACATACCTTTCTCAATAGTTCTGGCGTCTCAATGCCTCTTTCCATCAAAACACCCTCCCCATACGTATCTTGCAGATATATTAATTACACATCTACTTCAGTGGATTAATAGTAGTAGTACATTATTATGTCTCTGCATTTGTATATTGTGATTAATAGTAGTTTATTAGTAGTATATAAGTAGTACATGTGCAGTAATATTGCTACATTATGGGAGAAATAATATGTTACAATTCCACTCAAATCTTAGCAGAAACAGCTTAAAACTGGTAATCCTCTGTGGATTTGGGTTAAGTCCTACAAACACACAGACAAGTTCTACTTAAATTATCTGTTCTGAATACCAGGCCCCAACAACAAGTGGAGATACCTGCAACTATATTCAGTATTGCAAGTCAACCCTCTACTGAGATCCTAAGTCAGGAATCTGACACAGGCTTAATTATCCCTAAAAGAATTTTCCAACTCTTTTGTAACACACTACCAACAAGAATTTCCTCCATATTAAACACTAGCTACTTGACTTTCAAGCCAGGCACACCACAGATATCTTACATAATGTCACCCATTCAAAAAAATCCTACTAAAAGTGTTGGCACACGTGCAGATTTTGCATTTGACAGATTTTCTTCCCTAGCTTCAGACAACAGAAAAATTTAAATTGCTTTCTCACAGATATTGAACAACAAGAGATAAAACTCAAAATGGCTCTTGCTGCACATAAACATGACAGTAACATAACACTGGAACATCTTATATTAAAAATTAGTATATTGAAAAGTTATATCGAAAATAATACTTCATATTCAAAAGGGTAAAATAATCTTTTTTATTTGATCAGAAAGTATTTTTTCCTCCTCTTATTTTTCACTACAAAAACTAATGAAAACAGGTTCTGCGAGCAGAATGCTTTTCCCACATATTTGCAAACACCACTTACTTGCCCTTTGCAATAGCAAAACTAAGCCCCCTCTACAGCTCTCTCTTCAAATTATATAAAAAATTAAAACTAAAATTATAAACTCTAGTCCAGAGGTTTTTCCTACTCTAGCTGCTTAATTCCCTATTAGAGTCAATTCGTTTATCATCAAAAATCCTTCTTAGGGCAGCTCATTCTGGAGTCTGCTTTTTCTCTGATATTCCCTCCAGTTCGAATTACTTCCTTTTAACTTAGTATTACTGACAAAAGCTGCAGCACTGAAATTCATTCCCTATCACCAAAA